ATATATATATATTTTAAGTTTAGAAATTTGACTCTTTTTTGTTTGACTTGGATCATTGATCGGGTCAACTATTGATTGTGAATGGTAAAGAAAAATAAAGCTTAATTTTATTTTGAACAAAGGAAATTTTAGGAGAAGAAGAAAAATATTATAATTGTTTTTATAAGAACTTGAATCTTGGTATGGATTAAAGTTTTTGTTGCACATGGCTATTAGTGTAAAAATCAACCTTAATTAAGTCAATTAACACTAATTATTCATTAATTTTTTTTACATTTATTTTTTTAACAAGCTAATAAATATATTTATTCTTAAATGGTATGGCCCGCAATGTACTTGACAGGAGTCACAAAACTTTTATTGGTATATATTTTGTTGGGAAAAATGTATTGCATCTCTTATTTTTAAATTTTTTTTAGAGGATTTATATAAAATTTTATTTTTAATTAATATTTTTAAAAATTGATAGTTTTATTAATATAAATAATGTATATTAATTTTTAAATAATTTTAATAAGTTTAACCAAACTGCACTTCATTGAATAAGAAATTTAACACTGATTAATATATATTAATAAATAAAATTTTTTAAATAAAAAATTTATAAGTATTAGATTAATATAAAAATTGATATATATAATATATAAAAATAAATCTATTAATCTAACAATCAATTTTTAAAAATATTAATTAAATGTAAATTTTAAAATAGATGCTTTAAAAAAAATTTGAGGGGATGATACGTTTTGCACTAACCCCTATTTTTTTTTTTTCTTATATTGGTCCCAATGAGTTGAGGAGGCCTTCAAAGACCCAACCCATTAAATAAAAATGAAAGAAAATGGGTCGAGCTTGACCCATATGGGTCGACCCAACCCAAAATAACAAATATCCATTGGATCTCTTGGATCCAAATGGATTGAAACCGATGAGAATGAAATTTGCAACCGAATTAGAAACCCAGCCAAGCGGTTCAAAACAAAAAGAGCAAGGAAGCATGAAAAGATAAATCTCGAATATGCAACAAGCATGAACATACCAACGAACACCAAAATGGCACCAAGAAAACAAATCAAAATGCTGGCATTTCATTAATTTATCCATGGGTGGCAGTACATTATCAATCCAAAAACATCCAGAAAACACACGAAATCACTAAAATCCACAAAAGAACAACAAATGAAATGCATAAAAGTTGCTTCATGGGACCAATGTCTGCAGGGTACCGCGTTTTGGAGTATTCCCGGTGGCCAAGCCGGCTATAGGCAATCCCTATGCTCTCTGAAGGCCCAAAAAATCCTCCCTCAAACACAGATCTGCAGTCCTAATTATACCAAAAGAAAGAGAGAAACACTAACTTTTCTCACTCCACCATTATCATCGTTCTTTGTGATACCAGTAAACAAAATTTAAAAGAATACAAGGAAAATCCACAAAAAAGAAAGGATTTTCGATATATATCATTTGCAATATAATTTGGAATACAAGAGAATTACAGAGGAATTGAAGAAGATTGAAGAACATCAAAATAACTGAACACCCAACAAAGAGTTACAAAACACGTTTATACTGACATATGCCACTTGTTATTTAACTAACACAAACCAATAGTAACTGATATGCCACCTGCATGTGACTTCTAAATTTTTCTGCATATCAATTCCTTCCCCTCAAAACATCCTTGTTCTCAAGGATGGAAATTTGGAAACCATTGTTGGAGATCATAGAGATACTCCCAAGTAGCATATTTAGTGTAAGCATGAGACCATTGGACTAACACCTTAGTAGTAGCTCGATTTCCCCACTTCATCATTTTTCTTCCCAAAACAACTATAGGCTTTGGCATCACTAGTAAAGCCATATCAACAGGAAATTGAGTAGTCACTTGAATTCCTACTCCAACCTTTTTCTTTAGCTGTGACACATGAATTACTGGATGTATCTGAGAAGAATCAGGCAAGGCTAATTTATATGCTACCTTACCTACTTTATTAATCACTTGAAATGGGCCAAAATGTTTAGCAGCAAGTTTGTGAGATGGTCTAGATTGCACAAACTCTCGCCTATAAGGTTGAAGTTTGAGATACAACCAATCTCCAATAGCAAATTGTTGTTCTTGTCTATGCTTGTCAGCTTGTTGTACCATTCTTTGTTGTGCTCAAGTGAGGTTAAATTTCAGTACCTTCAACATATCTTCTTGAGCTTGCAAACTTTGATCAACAGTTGCAACATCTGAATCTCCTGGTACATAAGCTATATGCAATGGTGGTGGAAATCCATACAAAGCCTCAAATGGAGAAATCTAAGTAGCAGTATGAAAATTAGTGTTATACCACCACTCAACAAGATGTAACCACTTGCTCCACTCTGTTGGATGATCACTAGTCATGCACCTCAAACAATTTTCAAGACACCTATTCACCACCTCTGTTTGCCCATCAATTTGAGGATGATAAGCAAAAGAACAGTGCAGTTCAACCCACTGGAGTTTGAAGAACTCCCGCAAAAAATTACTAAGAAAAATGGGATCCCTATCAGATACAATTATTTGAGGCAATCCATGCAACTTAAAGACATTGTCCATGTAAGCTTGTGCAACAGTAAGAGCTGAATAGGGATGTTGTAAGGCAATCAAATGTGGATATTTTGTAAGTTTATCAACAACAACAAAGATAACATCTTTTCCATAAGATTTTGGAAGGCTTGTAATGAAATCCATACTGACTTGAGTCCTAATTGCTTCAGGAATTGGCAGAGGTTGCAATAGCCCTGGAGTTGGAGTATTTTCTAATTTGTAATGCTGACATACATCACACTGCCTTATGTACTACCTCACATCTTTCTTTAAGCCTTTCCAATAAAACAAAAGCACAAGCTTTTTTGTGGAAGCTTGAATTCCAAAGTGACCTCCCAATGCACTATCATGCACCAGATGAATCAACTTCCTCCTATGATCAACATTATTTCCCACAACTAAGCTGCCTTTTCATCTTAGTTGTCCCTCAGACCAAGTGTAAGCAAAATCCTTTAGAGAACCTTACTGTAATTCATTACAGATTTCCCAGAGCACTGGATCAACTCCCTAGCTAAGTCTCACCTTTTCATAAATACCAGGAAGAATTCTAGAGACTGCCATTTGCATGAGCTGGTTATTGGACACTCGAGAAAGTGCATCTGTTACCACATTTTCTTTTCCCTTTTTATAACTAATTGAAAAATCATTGCCCATTAATTTAGCCAACCAAGCTTGCTATAAAGGAGTACTAATCCTCTGCTCTAAAAGAAGCTTCAAACTTTGGTGGTCTATTTTGACAATAAAATGCCTCATAGTCTACATAAATTAAAGCTAACAACTCCTTATCATAAACTGATAAACTTTGATGTCTTAAGGACAAAGCCTTGCTGATAAAGGCTATTGGATGCCCTTGTTGTAAAAGAACAGCACAAATTCCAACACTAGAAGCATCAGTCTCCACTACATACTCCTTGGAAAAATCTGGCAAAACCAACACTGGAGTTGTTGTCACAACATGCTTAAGGGATTCAAAAGCTTCACTAGCCTCCCTTGACCAATGAAATCCCTCTTTTTTAAGCAATTATGTCAAAGGTTTACTCAAACTCCCATAATTCTCAATAAACCTTCGATAATATCCTGTCAAACTGAGAAATCCCCTCAATTTCTTAACAATCTTAAGTTGAGGCCATTGCTGAACAACTAAAATTTTCTTAGGATCAGTAGAAACTCCCTTTTTAGAGATATAGTGCCCAAGATATTCTATCCTGTCACAACCAAAGAAACATTTGCTTTGCTTCGCAAATAACTCATTATCTCTTAACAGCTTAAATACCTGTCTCAAATGGCAAATATGCTCCTCCAAGCTTTTACTGTAAACAAGGATATCATCAAAGAATACCAAGACAAAATTTCAAAGGTAAACTCTGAAAATTTCATTCATAAGAGATTGAAAAGTAGAAGGTGCATTGGTGAGTCCAAATGGCATGACTAAATATTCATAATGCCCTTCATGAGTTTTGAAAGCTGTTTTTGAAACATTTGGTGGATACATTCTAATTTGATGGTATCCCGATCTAAGATCAATCTTAGAAAAAATTTTCGATCCTTGCAGCTCATCTAACAACTCTTCAATGAGGGGTATGGGATATTTATCCTTCACAGTCTGCTTATTTAGAGCTTTGTAATTTATACACATGTGCCAAGACCCATCTTTCTTCTTAACCAGAACTATAGGTGAGGCAAAAAAACTTACACTATGTTGGATGATACCTCCTTGTAGCAATTCTTGAGTCATCTTTTCAATGACATCCTTCTACACTCCTGCATATCTGTATGGCCTTTGATTAATAGGATCAATTCCTTCCTTTAAACAAATTTTAGGATCATGAGCTCTATGGGGATGAAGGCCTCTATGTTCTGAAAGAGATTAGCATACTCTAATAATAATTTCTTCAATTTAGGACAAGTTGAAACCTTCTTGGAAGCACTTTTAGCCTTATTTTCTTCAATTTGCCAAGTGTCACACCCTCTGACAGCATTAGCAATCAGACTACATAAATGAATTAAGCTAGCTTGTCCTTCTTTTTTAAGCAATCTCACCATGCCTTTACTGCCAACCATCTTTAAAGACACTTGAAAGGATCCCCTAAGTACGTACTTTTGTCCATTGACAGCAAACTCCATGCATAAAGTCTTAAAATTCCACAAAATGTCACCCAAGGTCTCTAGCGACTAAATTCCCAACACCATATCACAACTACCAAGAGGTAAAATTAATGTACCTGTATGAAATGGTTTACCTTGTAACCACCAAGTAAAATCTTGGCACATATGGACACATTCCAATGAACTTCCATAAGCTACATCAACTTTCAAAGCAAGTTCCTTTCTCTTTTGTGGATTTTCCTTGTATTCCTTTAAATTTTGTTTACTAGTATCATTTGGTATCAGAGCAAGTTCCTGACATCATGGAAACTCGCTTACAAGAACACCAAAATAACTGAACACCAAACAAAGAGTTACAAAACACGTTTATACTGGCATATGCCACCTGTTATTTAACTGACACAAACCAACAGTAACTGATTGCCACTTGCATGTGACTTCTAAATTTTTCTGCATATCACTTCGTCTCTCCATCCTCACCCTTCAACAAATCGCCCAAAATTGCGTTATTCTTTCTCTGACCATTGTTGCCCTTCTAAAGCTCAAACAAGGACGGGCCTGGAACTCTTGTCCCTTGCACAGCGCGGACCACGGGAGTGGGACCATCTTGGCCGGAATAGAGACAAACGACGAGGAAGGGGGGAGTTGGGTTTCTGGGTTGAGGAGTTTTGCTAAAAATGTGTCGAGCCCTACCCCATTTTGTTAACACGACGTCGTTTAGAGCTGGCTTTGCTTTTTTATCCATTAGTTCTACTTGCTTACCTCTTTAGTCTTTCGATTCTTCCCTTGTCTTGATTTGGTCCCTACACATCAAAACCTATATTTTAAATATTTTTAAATTGTTTTCGCTCTTTAACCATGAACAACGCATTTTTTCATCCCTCCATCTGTTTTATTTGTTAGTTCTGCACAGTTTGCACTTATTTTGTCCTTAAACTTTTGTTCTATACAAACATTCATCCCTAAACTAATTTTTATTACACATTTTAGTCCCTAAACTTTTGTTTTATATATGTTTAGATAATTAAAGGAAATTAAAAAATTGTTAGTTTGGACGAACTTAATGGATAAAATTGATGGAAGAAAATTAGGGAAAGGAAACTAACAGGTGTGGGGTTGTCACGTATTATTCAGTTTCAATTAGTTTAGAAGACTGTTGGCCTCATAAAAACTATCCTCTCACATATTTTCATTTTCTAATAAATATGAAAATGAAAACTGTTTTCTAGGAAGGAAAAGGAAAATAGAAAATGGAGAAAGTTTTCTTCTCTTGCCAAACACACACCAAGTTCTTATGGGAGCTGCGATTGTATGCATTATTCTTATATTGTAAACTATACATAGTGCTTTTTTTTAATGAGTACAAATGTACGTTAAACACCAAATTTAGTTTATAAACTTCCAATTTTGAACAATTTTAGTCATTGAACAATTTTTTGAAAATTTTTTGTCTCTCAACCATGAACAGTGCACTTCTTTTTGTCCTTTTGTCAGTTCTGTCCATTAAGGCTGTATAATTGGCTTTCTTGTCCACGAAATCTTGTTTTATGCACATTCTTCATCCTTGAACTAATATTTGTTGCACATTTTTAGATTCTAAACTTTTGTTTTATGCACGTTCTAGTCATTAAAGGAAATTAAAAAAATGCTAGCTAGACAAATGACTTAAAAAAAATTGATGGAATGACAAAAAAAAGGTGCACTTTTCATAGTTGAGGAATGAAGATGTGCAAAAAATAATTTAGTGACTAAATTTATTCAAAATTCAAAGTTTAGGAGCTAAATTTTGACATTTAACACAAAAAGTTTAAGGGCCAACATTTTTTTTATTATAATTATAAGGCTACAATATCAAGTGGGAACACTTGCTGAATTTTATTAGATTCACATCGAATATTCTACTGAATATACCAAAAAAGGGAAAATCTTATAGACATCAAGAATTAACAAAAAAAAAAAATGTTAAATATGCAATCTGGTTAACCATCCTAGGAAGGAACATAACATCTGTTTATAAATGTAGAAGACCCAATTTTGAGGTATAAAAGTGGAGAAAATATACACTCCAATCTCAATTGTTCATTAAAAAAAAAAAAAAAAGGAAGAACAGAGATTCAGAGAGATGGCTAGTGCAAAAACTATTGTAACATTTGCTCAATTCTCCTTCATGGGAATATTACGTTTGGTCTTGCTTTCGACTTTAGGTACAATTTTGGGTAAACTACATGAATAGTCAGTCACCTTTATCATAACTTTTGATTTAGTCGCTCTTCTTTGAAATTTGTAAAGTTAGTCACTCAACTTTAGTTTAATTTTTGTCCATTCATCAGTTTCGTAAACTCCTAGCGGCCTTCATCAATTCTGTTATCTTTTATGTTGACATGGCACCAGAGTAGCCAACTTCACCATGTAATTAGTTTACGTGGCACCTACATGGCAAATAATATATTTTTTATTGTTAAAAAATCTTTAGGTAGCAAAAATAAAAATTGCAAACCTTAAGCAACGAAATAAGTAGCAGGTTGTGGGAATCTTCTATTTGGGAAACCCTACTATTTGCCTCCCACATTCTACAACTGTCGCTTTCATAATTTGGGAATTTGAAGTAGGGACATTAAATCTTTTAATTTCTCTACAAGTTTATTAAGACTTGAAATAAAAAAAAGATTCAAGATGCATACTAAGAAGAGAATTCGACAAAAGTGGGAAATTGAACCCCAATACACTAAGTTTTTATAGTTTTGTTTGTTACTAATTTATTCTTTTTTATCTTTTGTCTATACAATTCATATAATCAATTAGTGGGACTGGATGCCCTTGTTTGTGTTTTGGGCCATGCATCTTTATTTTGTGTGTGGGGATTTTGTGTTTAAATTTGCAACACTGCTTGTGTGGGTCATGAAACCTTTGACAGCTATTGCTATTTATATTATATGATGTTTAAATATTTTATTTTATAATTTGATCATTTGTGAATCATAAATAATTTTGTTTTCTAGTTAGCTGCACATTTTGATAATTTCTATCTTGCTTTGTATTACGATGGTTTTTTCTTTGCCATATGTTTCACATTTTTCTTTTTTCTTTTCTTTTCTTTTCTTTTTTTATGGGTGAAAACTCTGAATATTTTACAATTGAAATGCACCAAGGGGGGAATTTTAGTCTTGGCAACAATATAGGCGGTGGAATAAACTTTGTGGACTATCGTAGTGTTGATGAAATGTCACCCCTAGAGCTTGAGGACATCATAGAAAAACTTGGCCACAAAGATGGAGCTAATATGGTTTTTTGTGGTTAATGCCTAGTATGAAACTTAATGATGATCTGAGGGTGATTGAAAAGGATGTTGACTGTATGGAAATAGGGAGTCATTTGCCTAAAAATAGAAGCATATGTGTCTATTCCAAGGAGAAAAAGAATGAAGAAACAATCAGAGATTTATTGTTATAAGCAAAACCTCTAGTTTTTTCATGGTCTCAGTTGAGAGAACATGTATAAGAAAATCTTGTTTTATTTAATGATGGTAGGGATGCTACAGTTGTGGAAAATGGTGATAAAGTGGGGAATGCTAGTTTCACTAACAGTGATGATGAAGATTATAATGCTAGTGAGGATTCACAGTTTGAAGAAAGTGATGATGATCTAGATTTTGAAGAAAAATTTTGTGAAGTCAATGTTGATTTAGATATAAGAAAAGAGACCTTTTAACTTTAACTCTAACAAAGTGTTTACTGCTTTTGATTTAGTTGTTGCAAAATAAGGATATTTGAGTGAAAATGATAGCAGTGAAAGATGGAAACTTGTATGTCCTCAACAGTGATTATGATTTAGAGGATGATGGAAACTCAAAAAGCAAGTTCCCTGAATTTAATATTGAGGTTGATATGGAAAATCCTCAAGTTAGAGTTAGGATGCTGTTTGCAAGTAGGGAACAATTGAAGGAAGCTGTCAAGCAATACTCGAGGAAGAATAAACTTGCTATTAAATTTAAAAGGAATGACAAGGACGGTGAGAGCCATATGCAAGAGCTTTCCATCTTGGAAGTTGTGGGCTAGTCCTACAGACTTAAAGGATAATAATGATACAACTTGGCAAATCAAGACATACAAAAATGAGCGCAATTGTGGGGTTTCACATGAAAACAAATTTATAACAGCTAGATGACTAGAAAGTTATTATCTAGACAAATTTAAAGCAGACAAACAATGGAAATGTTCAATGTTACAAGAAGAAGTTGAAAAAGAATTTATGGTCAATATCAGTGAGACTACGACATACAGAGCAAAGGTGTATGCGACTGAGATTATTGATGAGAAATATAAAGACCAAGTTGCACTAATATGGGAATATATTGCTGAAGTTAAGTTACAAAATTCTTTCTCAACTTTGGAATGTGTTACTAATGTTGGGACTTCTCAAAGAATGTACATCTGCCTAGATGCATATAAGAATAGATGGAAAGCAGGTTGTAGGAAAATTATTTGTTTAGATGGTTGTTTCCTAAAAGGGATCTTTGGGGGGTAGTTGTTATCTGCAGTGGGAATTGATGCGAATGATTGTATTTATCTCATTGCTGTTGCTGTTGTTGAATTAGAAAATAGAGAATCTTGGGAATGGTTCTTGGAGCTGTTGAAAGTTGATCTTGAAATTGTCAACTCACAAGGTTATACATTCATGTTTGACAAACAAAAGGTATGAAGCTGTGTGTGTGTGTGTGTGTATGGTTTTCTAATTTTGTTTTGTTCCCAACTTTTTGAAAGTTAAACATATTGTATAATTTTTTTTATATTGCTTAGTTTTCTGCATTACTTACATTTTCCATTTATTTATGTGTAAGGATTAATGCAAGCTCTTGAGAATTGTGTGGCTAAATTAGCACAAAGTTTTTGTGTTAGACACTTGTACAATAATTTTAAGACTCAACATAAAGGACAAGAACTCAAATTTGTCCTATGGAACTGTGTTAGATCATCAACAAAGAAAGAGTTGCAAGAAAAATCAGGTGATGCACTTGCCTAGTTAGCTGACAAGGATCCAAGGCATTGGTACAAAGCATTCTTTGATATATAATGCAAAAGTGATATGTTGGTTAACAATCTAAGTGAATCATTCAACAAATTCATTAGGGATGCTAGGGATAAACCAGTTTTGACTTGCATGGAGATATTGAGGACCATGCTTATGGTGAGGATAGTAAAAAAATAAGAGGAATCTTCAAAGTGCCTCGATAAAATTTGTCCAAAAATTGAGAAAAAACTTAAAAGGCTGAAGTAAGAGGTTGGTAAATGGGGGGCTGAGAAGCTGGTAAGGGAAAATTCAAAGTGTCTTATCTTAATGACCAACACATAGTGAATTTGAAAAATGCAACCTGTTGTTGTAGGAAGTGGGGCCTCACTGGAATTCCATGCATACATGTTATTTCAGCTTGCTACTCTATTTGTCAAGATCCTATTGATTATATTCATCCAACTTATTCAAAGGCAACTTATGAGAAGATCTATAGCTATTTAATATCACCTATTAGAGGGGCACTAGAATGGGAAGAGAGTAATAAGCCACCAATCCTCCCTCTAATGCTTAGAAGGCCTCTAGGGAGACCTAAGAAGACAAGGAGGAAAGTTGTTGATGACGAGAAGCCTAATGGTGGTGGAAAAATGTGTAAAGTGGGTATCTAAATGAGGTGCACTAAACGTGGGAGTGTTGGACACAATAAAAGGACATGCAAAGGAGTTGTTGGAGGAATAAGGAGCTTAATCCTCATGAAGTTGTACTTCATTATATGCAATAAAATGCAAATTTAGTAAGTTGAAAAGTTATTAACCACTTATTAGTTCATTCCTTTGTGGATCCTTTCATTATATATAGTATGATGCTTGTTTATGCAGGCATCAAGTATGGAAGAAGACATCTTGCTAGGGCAAGTATAACTAAGTGGTTTACTGATGTAACCAACTTCATTTCAGAATTCTAGATTATCCAATAGCATAAATTTTGATGAGCTTTATTTGTTTATGGTGTAGAGTCAAGTGAAACTCTCTACACCACACCAGCCTACCAAATCCTCTTCAATAAAGCCATCTGCCTTAAAACTTGTAA